GAGTCGTAGACGACTCATAGTGACCCTGTGAATGAAAGGCCTGAGCACTGTTCGTACATAGAGTTTCTGGAGGCAAGCCATTTCTGAAGTGGATGCCGCTCCTGCTTCCAGGCTTGAATAGAAATTACTCTTCTTATTTTTATATTAAAATAAACATGTAATCATTTCAAACCTTTTAAAATAATTTTTTATTAATTTTAATGAAAATTTACAGTTATTTTGGATTTCCATTCATTCACTGTTGCACTTTTCTCCCTGTTCCTCCTCCCCACCCAGTATACTCTTCTCTTTGAAAAGTAAAGAAAAGTTCTTTCATTGTTTTACAGTCCGTCCATGTGCCCCCCCACCCCCACCCCTGGTCCACTCCACTATGGAGCCTTCGTTCTGGACTCCTGTCATGACAATAATGCCTAATCACATATCCCTTTTAAACAGTTTTCTCCCTCATCCGTTTCAATGCAGTATACATTATTTATCCCATCTTTCTCAGTCTCCCCCAACCCTGATGTCAGTCCCATTTTACAACAGTGGCGATATGTAGTATTCGTCCCTTTGTGACCAAGATATTTCACTAAGCATAATGCTCATGTGAAATCCATACATAGAACAAGAAAACAGTTCTCTGAGTAGAACAGAGGAATACTGTAAGATTTAAATCAGAAAAAGTCTCCACCAGGGTTGCATCCTTTCTCCATATCTATTTAATCAATATACTGAACAAATTATTAAAGAAGAGGATTCTATAAAGAAGAATGTGGTGTCAGGATTGGAAGAAGATTTACCAATAACCTGTGTTATGCTGATAACACAAGCTTGCTTATAGTGTTAAGAAGTCTTGAAGCACTTAGTGGAGAAGATTAAAGACTACAACATTCAGTATGGGTTTAATCTCAACATTAAGGAAAGAAAAATTCTTACCGCTGGACCAATAGGTTACATCATGGCAGATGGAAAAAGCTTGAAGTTGTCAACAGTTTCATTTTACTTGGGTTCACAAACAATACCCATAAGAACAGAAGTTGAGATAGATTTCTCTGGAATATATAATGTTAAAGGCTTCTCCAAAATTAATTAAGGATTTCTCCAAAATTCTAAAAAGCAAGGATGCCAATTTAAAACTAAGGTGCGATAGTCAATCCAAGCCATAATCTTCTCAATACCTTAAATACATTTGAAAGTTTAGCTGTAACTAAGAATGACGCAAGAAGAATCAATGCCTTTGGCAGAGTTGAATATACTATGGGCTGCCAAAATGAACACATCTATCATGAATGAAGTGCAACCAAAGTATCCCTCAAACGCAAGGATGATGAAAATCTGTCTTTCCTACTTTAGGCATGTTGTCAGAAGGAGCCAGTTCTTGGAGAGAAGAATTTTGCTGTGAAATTTAGAGGGTCAGTGGAGAAGGGGCAGGTCCTCAATGAGGTCGATTGATATAATGACTGCCACAGAGGGTTTGAACATGAGAATGGCATGGGATGGATCAAGGCATAGATTAACTGCTGATAGAGTCATATGAGGAAGCTGTGGCAGCATAGTGATAAGAAGCTGTGCTGCAATCCCAAAAGGCACACAGTTCTAATCCACTATATGTTTCTCAGGAAAAGATGGTTTATCTCCACCCATGTGATTACTGTCTCTGAAAACTATTTGGAGGATCAGCTATGGGTCAATTCTGACTCTATGGCACAAAAGTAACAACAAACAAGGTTATTATGATTTGTAGTTGACTTGATCAGAATTAAGAACGACATTATATATATATATATATGGTTTTATTTACTTTTCCAGAATTGAACAATTATTAATGAATCATACAGTAGCTTAATTTGTTGTTGTTGTTGTATGTGTTGTTGGATGCTCAAAATTATTTTTATTTATGCTACTGCTTATGTATCAGAAACAAATTTTGATGTCAAAAAAGTAAATAAACACTGGAAAACACAACATTAAAACTAAATGAATGAGTATTTTAACATTTTACTAGATTTTCATTTAAACTAAGATTATGATAGTTTTTACAGGCATGAATTCATGTCAATAACTAATCTGCACCTTTAAAAATCTAACAAAGAAAATAAGTATAAAGGACAACAAATACTAGAAATACTAGAAACATTTTGAATAGGAGTAAAATAGAACTTTCTGCACATATTATGCTTTCCAGAAATCTATCTCAAGTTGACTCTTTTCCTTGGTTAATCTTAAGAATCTTTACTTCTAAGTATAAAAAATCTGACACCTTAAGTGAAGCAAAAGTTAACCATAAGGCAGCTGTGTATTGTTCATCCAGTGGGACTTAAGAATTGACAATCCTATAGATTTATGTTCTACTCTGATACACATGGGGTCTCTTTTTTTTTTTTGTTTTGTGTGTTGTTGGTTTTTATTCTATGATTCAGTTCCAATTCAATGGTACAACTACAGATTTCTTCGCGGTGATTTAAAAACAAACATGGGGTCTCTTAAGACCTGACATTGGTTTAGTAACAACCAAATTCTCTCCTAGTTTTTATATTATTTCTTATATTTGTCCTGAAGCATCTAATTTCTCATAAATTAGTAATATGAGGATTGTTGTTCTTTTTGTTATTGTGTAAGATCAAGTCAGGACCCATCTTCAGCTAACCTAGCATTTTTGCAGAGACAGCAAATTACACAACTGCTTTCTCTTTCAAAGCAGTTGGTAGGTTTGAACTACGTACTCATGGGCTTGCAGTGTAGCCTTTTATTACTAGGTCACCAGAATTTGCCTTAAACCACAAGAACTTCATATTGAAGTCTGACTGCTTAATTTTAAAATTTAATAAATAGAAGATACAATCTTAAATTGTGTTTTTAAAAACAATTTATAAACATTATAATGATACAGAAAGTGAGTAGTCTATTCAATATAGCAATATGCTTGCTAAGATGAAAGAAAAAAATCCCTCCAAAACATTAAGGCAGACATATGACTAAAGCACTATAGTAATTAGAATGCAATGAATTAGTCAGTGACCCAATGAATATTCCATGTTAGATTAGTATGATGGGTATACTTTCCCCTGATATTTTCTCACTATAACTAATCTTATCATCGAAGGAATTTTTACTAATATATATTTAAATAAAAATATCATCTCAGAGTATTTTATTGTTAACCAAGTTGGTGACGTTTATTAATTTGTTTTATCTTTTTAAGGGATGTACATGAGAGAATAAATTATTTGTAGACAAGTTTGAATTCTTAATAATAATACTGACATATCTGAAAGTCATTAACTTTCTCATCTTTTCTTCCTAATATTGAAAATCCTTTGAGTCATCAACAGAAGAATACAAGTCAGAAAACGGAATTTGTATCTGTCTGAAAAATACAAGGTACTCTCTGCAAGAGAGAACTCCTTCATAAGAGAATTTCTTCTACAAAATATTATTAAATCATTGAATTTTCATACATGCATATATGTGTCCTATTAATATCATGCAGATCCATTTTTATTCCCAGTTCATAAGATGTAAACTGTTTTACCACTAAAGCAGGATGAACCATAGCACTGTGACTGAGTTCATAATTCTAGGCCTCACCGGAAATCCAGAAATCCAGGGATTTCTCTTTGTTACCTTTCTTTGCATATACCTTGTGGCTTTCCTTGGAAATATGCTCATTGTTATTGCCATAATTTATAACACCACTTTGCATAGCCCTATGTACGTTCTTCTTCTGGCATTAGCTATTGTAGACATTATCTGTACAACGAGCATTATACCCAACATGCTGTGGACTATGCTTACACCAGAGAAGACCATCTCATATGGGGGTTGCATATCTCAGCTCTTCTTCTTCACATGGTCTCTTGGGGCAGAGATCGTTCTCTTTACCACCATGGCTTATGACCGCTACGTGGCCATCTGCTTCCCTCTTCACTACAGTACTATTATGAATCACCGTATGTGTAAGACTTTGCTCAGTATTGTCATGGGAATCGCAGTAACTAATTCCTGGGTGCACACTGCTCTTATTCTGAAACTCAACTTCTGTGGACCCAATATCATTGATCACTTTTTCTGTGAGATTCCTCCACTGCTTGCTTTGTCTTGCAGTCCTGTGAAAATCAATGAAATTATGGTGTATGTTGCTGACATTTTCCTGGCCATAGGTGACTTCACTCTCACGTGTATTTCCTATGGCTTTATCATTGCTGCTATTCTACGAATCCGTACCACAGAAGGCAAAAAGAAAGCGTTTTCAACATGCTCATCCCACCTCATTGTGGTTTCCCTGTACTATTCCCCTGTCATTTACACCTATATTCGCCCTGCTTCTAGCTACACATTTGACAAGGACAAAGTAGTAGCGGTGCTCTATACTCTTGTGACTCCCATGTTAAATCCGATTGTGTATAGCTTCCGAAATAAGGAGATGCAGTTAGGAATTAGGAGAGTGTTTGCTTCTCTGAAACATTAGGTATTCCAAGAGAACATAGATTCTCTAGGCTAGAAGCATATTCTAGATAATTTCAGATTTTATAAACTCTCATAGATGCCTCTAGCCTATTCTCATTCACTCTTAGGATTAAGTATATTTCACACAACTGTAAGTACTTCCTTCACTCTAATTTTTTTTATATA